TTATCAAAGGAATAAAGCCAACTACAAAACAAGAATCAACAGAATGTGATAATCCAATCATAAAGGACAATCAAACATGCTTACACATATTCAAGAAATCAATCATCTTAGTTATAAATAATAAGTAGTTCATTTATGTCCTTATTATTATTGTTATTATTTTTTACATTCCTCATATAAATAATGTCATATGGCATTTTTCTTTCTCTTTCCAGCCCACTTAACCTAGAATGACAATCTTTAGGTCCATCCATTTTGCTACAAATGGGATTATTTTATTCTTTATTTATGGCTGAGTAGTGTTCTATTGTATATATGAACCACCTTTTCTTTATCCAGTCATCTGTTGAAGGACATTTGGGTTGTTTCCATGCCTTGGCTATCATAAATATTGCTGCTATAAACGTTGGGGTGCATGTGTCTTTTTGAATTTAATTTTTCTCTGGATATATGCCCAGGAGTGGGATTGCTGGATCACATGGTAAGCCTATTTTCAGTTTTTTAAGGAACCTCCATACTGTCCTCCATAGTGCCTGCACCAGTCTACACTCCCAGCAACAGTGTAGGAGGGTTCCCTTTTCTCCACACCCTCTCCAGCATTTATCATTTGTAGACATTTCAATGATGGCCATTCTGGCTGGTATAAGGTGTTATTTCATTGTAGTTTTGATATACGTTTCAATGACAATTAGCAATACTGAACATTTTTTTCATGTGCCTATTGGCCATTTGTATGTCTTCATTGGAGAGTTGCTTGTTTAGGTTTTCTATCCATTTTTGGATTGGGTTGTTTGTTTCTTTGATATTAAGGTGTATGAGCTGTTTGTATATTTTGGAAATTAGTCCCTTGTCAGTCACAACATTTGCAAAACTTTTCTCCTATTCTGTAGGTTGTCTTTTAATTTTGTTGATGGTATCCTTAGCTGTGCAAAAGTTTTTAAGTTTAATTAGATCTCATTTGTTCATTTTTGCTTTTATTTCCATTACTCCAGAGCTGGCTCAAAAATATATTGTTGTAATTTATGTCTTTGGGTGTTCTGCCTGTTTTCCTCTAGGAGTTTTATAGCATCTCTTCTTACATTTAGGTCTTTAATCCATTTTGAGTTTATTTTTGTGCACGGTGTTAGAGAATGTTCTAATTTCAGTCTTTTACAGGTAGCTGTCCAGTTTTCCCAGAACCACATATTGAAGGGACTGTCTTTTCTCCATTGTATATTCTTGCCTCCTTTGTCATAGACTAATACACCATACATGTGTGGGTTTATTTCTGGACTGTCTATCCTGTTCCACTGATCTATGTGTCTACCATACTGCTTTGATTAGTGCAGCTTTGTAGTGTAGTCTGAAGTCAGGGAGCAGGATTCCCCCAGTTCCATTCTTCTTTTTCAAGATTGTTTTGGCTATTCAGGGTCTTTTGTGTTCCCATACAAATTTTAACATTTTTTATTCCAGCTCTGTGAAGAATGTCATTGGTAATTTGATAGGGGCAGCATTGAATCTGTAAATTGCCCAGGGTAGTATGGCCACTTTAACAATATTGATTCTTCCAATCCAAAAACATGGTATATCTTTTCATTTGTTTATGTCATCTTCAATTTCTTTCATCAGCGTCATGTAGTTTTTGGCATACAGGTCTTTTGCCTCCTTGGGTAGGTTTATTCCTAGGTATTTTATTCTTTTCTGTGCAATGATGAAAGATATTTTTCCTTAATTTCTTTTTCTGCTATTTTCTTGTTAGTGTATAGAAATTCAACTGATTGCTGTATATTAATTTTGTATCCTGCAACTTAACCAAATTCATTGATGAGTTCTATTAGTTTACTGGTCACTTCTTTAGGGTTTTCTATGTATAGTATCATGTCATCTGAAAACAGTGAAAGTTTTCCTTTATCATTTCCAATTTGGATTCTTTTATTTCTTTTTCTTCACTGATTGCTAAAGCTAAGACTTCTAAAACTATGTTGGATAAAATTAGTGAGAGTGGGCATCTATGTCTTGCTCCTGATCTTAGAGGGAATGCTTTCAGCTTTTCCTTGTTAAGTATGATGTTAGCTGTGGGTTTGCCATATATGGCCTTAATTATGTTGAGGTATGTTCCATCTATGCCCACTTTCTGGAGAGTTTTGATCATAAATGGATGTTGAATTTTATCAAAAGATTTTTCTGTGTCTATTGAGAGTATTATATGGTTTTTGTTCTTCAATTTGTTAATGTGGTGTTTCATGATGATTGTTTCATGTGTAATGAAAAATCCCTGCATCCCTGGGATAAATCTCACTTGATTATGATGTATGATCCTTTTAATGCATTGTTGGAGTTCATTTGCTAGTATTTTGTTGAGAATTTTTGCATCTATATTCATGTGATATTGGCCTGTAATTTTCTTTTTTGTAATACCCTTGTCTGGTTTTGGTATCAGCGTGATGATGGCCTCATAGAATGAGCTTGGAAGTATTCCTTCCTCTGCAAATTTTTGGAATAGTTTCAGAAGGATAGGCGTTAACTCTTCTCTAATTGTTTGGTAGTATTCACCTGTGTAGCCGTCTGGTCCTGGATTTTTGTTTGCTGGGAGGTTTTTAATTACTGATTCAGTTTAATTTTTATTATTTTTTAATTGAAAAATTGCCAATTTACAATGTTGTGTTAATTTCAGGTGTTTAGCATAGTGATTCAGTTATACATATATATACACATATATGTTGAATATCTCTGAACATTCTACATATACTTATATAGAATATATATGTATATATATAATATGTGTGTGTGTGTGTGTGTGTGTGTGTGTGTGTGTGTCTGTATTCCTTTTCAACTCTGGAAAAATAAAACATTAAAGAACCATCAATATTTCACTCAAAATTCAGAGGACAGGCCCAGGGAAAGGACTGAGTTTGGCTGCATGGAGGCAGCCTGAAGGAGCTGGAGTGTGGTACAGGTTGCAACTGGGAGTGTGTGCAATGAAGCCTGGTTCTGCCATATAAAGCCCCATTGTTAATACATGAGAGGAAGGGTAGGACCCTGCCATAGCAGCCTCCTACTTGGCGAGTATACTCACAGCTGGGGCAGCAGCTCGACCTTTGTGAACTCTGGAAACACACAAGTGCTGATGGGTTGCCCTCAAGCAGAGGCAGGTCTGAGGTTTGAGCCCATTCCCAGAGGCCATGCAACTTCAGAAGCAGGACTGAAATTTGAGCAGTGTCCCAGGTGACTCTGACAGATTTATACCACCCATGCTATTGTAAGTTCAGCAACTGTGAGACATCTGAGATTACTGATGCACAGCTGGGGTAGTTCCAGCATTAGCAGCTGTGGGCTTTGCAGGCATTTGCAACCAGGGGTGGGATTGGGGTCTGGGCTGACTCTGTAACTCCCATGGTGGGTCCAGGTGCATGAATACATGTGACTACAGTGGGTCTTGGTGCCTGACTTCAGTGGATCTACCCTGGTAATTTTGTGAGTACACTATCTGAAGGACACCTGAGCAGATTGCCTGCATTCCTATGGCTAAAGAGGGGCTGAGGGTAGCACCAAAAACAGCATACTTTATGGGTCCACACAACAGGTAACAGGGGATACCACAGAGTGCAATTCCCAGAATACTCAGATTAACAAACCAACTCAAGAAACCCTGGAATCAACTAGGGAAAACTCACCCTTTAGAATCTTTTCCTCTAGTACAACTTTTGGCAACAATATTTGTATTAGTCAGAGAAAGAGAATACCTATATGGTAAGAGAGATTGATTTTAATGAATTCATAGACACAACTCAACTTAAGTCCTAAGACAGTCTGCTGGCAGAACTTCTTCAGGAAGATCAGTTTTTTTTTCTCTTAAGGCTTTCAACTGATTGGATAAGATTGGATAAAGCCTACCCATATTATGGAAGGTAATCTATTTTACTCAATGTCTACTGATTTAAATGTTAATCTCATCTAAAAGATATCTTCAGGAAGAGGCCAAGATGGAGGAGTACTAGAACACTCATAGCTCACCCTCTCCCACAGATACACCAAGACTCACATCCACAGACCCACTGAGCCAACCAGAGCACCTGAGGAACTCTGACAGAACATCATCCTCTTCAAAAGACATAGATGCCAAAAATCTGGTAGGAGAAAATGGGAAAAGAAAGAAGAAAAGGCAAAACAGTACAGGACTGGTCCCATGGGGAGGGAGTAGCAAAAGAGTACAAGTGCTCATTTGCTGGGTTGTCCCCTCTCCAATGGAGAGGTCAGTGGGATGGTGGGGGAGACTTCGAGGCTCGGATTTTTACAGAGCACCCCTTGACCCACAGACTAAGTTAAACAGGCATAGAGGGTCCCTTTGACACCCAGCCCAGAATGCAAGCTGGCAGGTTGGGGCCAGGACAGGTTGCCTGAGCAGATGGAGGACTGGGGTGGCTGCACTAAGGCAGCCCTGAGGGACTGCAGGGTGCTGCACACCGTGGATGAGTGGGTGCACAGGGCAGAACAACCTGGGCCCTCCATAAAACAACACGGCTGATGTGCCTTGGGGGGAAGGGTGCCATACCCCCATCCCTGAAAACCCGTGAAAGGATTTCGGGTGAAGAGAGGTGGGGCTCAGGCACAGCTGCAATATCCTCCAGCACTTAGCACACAGGCAGAGGCAGGGGTGAAACCTGAATCCGCACCTAAGGGCTTAGCAGCCTCAAAGGTCAGAGGGAGACTTGTTTACAGCCTGAGGCAGATAGGATCCTTCAACCCTAGTCCCTCAGAGAACTCGCATCATCAAGACAAAGAAGGAGGTAAGTTTTGGCACAGAGCAAGGGTGGGGTTGTTCTGTGGTCTTCCCCAAGCCCGCCTAGGGAGTGCTGACTCAAGGAATAGTGCTCAGCTGCACAGAGCAGGGGCACACTCGTGCCAGGGGAGAGCGGGTGGCCATCGGCCTTTCGGTCAGGAATGCAGCACCTGACTTCAGTGCTGGCAGGGGTCGTGATCCGCCCGCCAACATGGCCCGTCAGCAACATCTGACTGAGGCATCAGGAGGATGAGTGACCTGCCTGCCCACAGTGAAGTAGAGCAGCACCTGACCAAGTGTTGGGAGGAGGTGTAATCTGCTTGCCTACAGGCACTGGGAGCAGCACAGATGACGGCGCCAATAAAGGGCCTCTGGAAACAGCAAGCTGAGTTCACAAAACAAGGTGAAGACAGAAAGACTTCTGATTAGGAGCACACAGTCTCAAGAACATTCCTCCCCCCTTTGTTAAATCCTTTTTTACGTGTTTTATTTTTTATTACCTTTTTAATTTTTACTTTTTAAATAATTATATATGCTTCCAGTTTTAATCACTTTAAAATTTTTCCTATAAAATATTTTTATTATTATTTTTAAAAATCCACATAATTTCATTTTTATTTCTCTTGGTTTTGATCTCCTGTGATTGATTATACACAAGTTTCAAATATTTTTTCCTCTTTTCTTCTTTTTTAAAGGTTTTTAAAAGACATCTCAATCCGATTGCTATTCTGTTTCAACTTGTTCTTCTATTATTCATTAGAAACTGTTTTCAAACTTTTTTCCTCCCTTCTTTTAAAATTTTCTGCTTATTTTACCTTTTTTATCTCTTCTATTTTTATTACCTTTTTAATTTCTACTTTCTAAACAATTGTATATGCTTCTAGTTTAATTCCTTTAAAATTATTCTTTTAAAGTAGTTATATTATTATTATTTAAAAAATCAGTACATTTAATTTTGATCTCTTTTGGTTTTGATGTCCTGTTATTGATTATAGACAGGTTTCAAATATATCTTTTCCTCTTTTCTCCTTTTTTAAAGGATTTTAAAGGACATCTCAACCCGATATCTATTCTGCTTCAACTTGTTCTTTTAGTCATTATACACCATTTTCAAACCTTTTTTTCTCCCTTCTTTTAAAATTCTTTCTCTCTCTCTCTCTCTTTTTTTCCCCTAAGTCTTATTCCTATATAGGTGTTAGGTAGGTAAACTCCTTAAGGACAACAATAGATAACTGATACTCCATAAACCACACTTCCAGAGAGGTATGAGCAAGATGAAGAAGCAGAGAAATTGCTGCCAATTAAAAGAACAAGAGAAATCCCCTGATAGAACAATCAATGAAATAAACATCGATAGCCTACTAGATCAAGATTTCAAAAAAGGAGTGATCAAAGTACTGAAGGAACTAAAAGATATAGTGTTTAGAGATATAAAATATGTCAAAAATGAAATTGAAGCTATAAAGAAGAGCCAAGTAGACACATTGGCTGAGATGAGAACAGATGTAATGGCTGTGCAAAGCTGACTAGATAATGCAGAGGAATGAATAAGTGACCAAAAGACAGGACAACAGAAAGTACCTAATCAGAACAGCTGAGATATAACAAATAAAAAACAATGAAAACAACATGAGGGACCTATGGGATAATATACAGCATGCCAATCTTCATATAATAGGGGTCCCAGAATGGGAGGAAAGATCAAAGGGGATTGAAAATATATTGGAAGAAATTATGACTGAAAACTTCCAAAATCTAAAGGAATCAGATATCCAAGTACAGGAAGCTCAGAGGTCCCAAAAAGGAAGAACTCAAACAGACCCACACCAAGACATATCATAAACAAGATGGCCAGAGTCAAGGAAAAATATACAATCCTAAAGGTAGCAAGAGATAAACAAAGAGTGAGTTACAAGGGAACCCTCATAAGGCTCTCAGCTGATTTGTCTACACAAACACTACAGGCCAGTAGGGAGTGGCAAGATATATCCAAAGTCCTGAATGAAAAAAAGATGCAGCCTAGGATAGACTATCCAGCAAAGCTATCCCTTAGGATAGAAGGAGAGATAAAGAATTTTGAGACAAGCAAAAATGAAAAGAGTTTAGCAACACTAAACCCATGCTAAAAGGAATATTGAAAGGTCTACTCTAAATACAAAAGAAGCAGGATGCTACAAAAATGAGAAACTCACAACTGGAAAGGTGATAACCCAAGAATTACAAATAAAATAAACACAAAGTTGTAAAAGAAGATATCTAAATAATTAAAAGTGAGAGAGGGAAGCAGGAAAATATAGACTATTTTCTTGTCTTTCTTATTAAAATATTTTTTCCTCAGTAGGATGGGATTGAGATTGTATTATTATAAATTTAATAAAAACAGATATAGTAATGGATTAATTGGCTTAAAAAAAGGGTAACCACAAACCAAAAACTTACAAAGGAGTCACAAAAACTAAACAGAATCTATGATAATACAAAGGAAAAAGACCACACCACAAAAGGAAGAAGAAAGAAGCAAAGAGGAAATACCAAATCAACTGCAAAAATAAGTTCAAAATGGCGATAAACACACGTGTATCATTAATTACTGTAAATAGCAATAGACTAAAAGCTCCAGTCAAAAGACATAGAGTGGCAGACTGGATAATAAGGCAAGAATCTTCAATATGCTGTAAACAAAACACCCACTTTAGGGAGAAGGACAAATATAGGTTGGGAGTGAAAGGATGGAAAAGGATATTCCATGCAAGTGGAAAACCCAGAAAAGCAGGTGTAGCAGTACTGATTTCAGACAAAATAGACTTTAAAACAAAGGCCATAAAGATAAAGATGGACATTTAATAATGATTAAAGGAGTAATACAAGATGAGGCTATTACACTCATTAATACATATGCATCCAATATAGGAGCACCTAAGTACATAAAACCATTACTAACAGAGATAAAGGGGGATATTGATGGGAATACAATAACAGCCGGAGATTTTAACACCACATTAACATCACTAGACAAATCTTTCTGACAGAAAATAAATAAGGCAACAGAGAAATTAAATGATACAATACAAAAATTATTAGATTTGGTGGATGTTTTCAGAGCATTAAACCCACCAAAAATAGGATATATATTCTTTTCATAAGCACATGGAACATTTCCTAGGATTGATCATGTACTTGGGCACAAAATAAACCTCAACAATTTTAAGAAGATAGAATTTATCTCAAGCATCTTTACTGACCACAATGCCATGAACCTAGAAATCAAAAACAGAGAAACAAAGGAGAAAGAAAGGAAAGCATGGAGATTAAACAACCTGGTATTAAAAAACCAGTGGGTCAATGAGAAAATCAAAGTTGAAATTAAAAAATACCTTGAGACAATTGAAAATGAAAGCACAAGCACTCAAAATTTATGGGACACAGCAAAGGCGTTACTAAGAAGAAAGTTTATAGCGATACAGGCCTTCCTCAGAAAAGAAGAACAATCTCAAATAAACAAGCTAACCCACCAGCTAAAAGAGTTAGAAACAGAAGAACAAAAATCCCCAAAAGGCAGCAGAAGGAAGGAAATTATAACATTCAGGGAGGAAATAAATAAAGTAGAGTTTTAAAAAATCATAGAAAATGTCAATCAAACCAAAAGCTGGTCTTTTGACAAAGTAAATAAAATCGACAAAATTCTGGACAAACTCACAAAGAAGAAAAAAGAGAGAGCATAAATTAGCAAAATAAGAAAGGAAAATGGAGAAATTATAACAAATAAAATAGAAATATAGAATAAATATATGTTCATGTATAACTGAAAAATTGTGCTCTACCCTGGAATTTGACACAATATGGTAAAATGATTATAAATAAATAAAAATGTTTAAAAAACACATGAGAATATTATGAAAAACCATATGGAACCAAAATGGAAAACCTAGAAGAGATTAACAAGTTTCTGGAAACATACAGTCTGCCAACATTGAATCAAGAAAACACTGACCACTTGAACAAACCAATCAGTAGAAATGAAACTGAATTAGCAACAAAAAACAACCCTACATACAAATAAAAGTCCCAGACTGGATGGCTTCAATGGGGAATTCTACCAAACATAAAAAGAAGAACTCATACCAGTCCTTCTCAAAATCTTCGAGAAGATTGAAAAGGAGGGAATACTCTCAAACTCATTCTATGAAGCCACCATCACCCTGATACTAAAACCAGGCAAAGACACCACCAGATAAGAGAATTACAGACCAATACCACTGATGAACATAAGTGCCAAAATCCTTATCAAAATAGTAGCAAAAAGAATCCAACAGCACATAAAAAATATTATACAACATGATGAAGTGGGGTTCATCCCAGGGAAACAAGGGTGGTTTAACATACACAAATAATTCAATGTAATACTTCACATCAACAAGAGAAAGGACAAAAAACACATGATCATCTCACTAGATGCAGAAAAACATTTGATAAAATTCAACACCCATTTATGATAAAAACTCTCACCAAAGTGAGTATAAAGGGAAAATATCTCAACATAATAAAAGCTATATGTGGAAAAACTCAAAAACTTGCCACTAAAATTTGGGACAAAACAAGGATGACAATTATCACCACTCCTATTCAACATAGTCCTGGAAATCCTAGTCACAGCAATCAGGCAAGAGAGAGAAATAAAAGGGATCCAAATTGGAAAAGAAGAGGTAAAAGTGTCACTATATGCTAATGACATGTTACTATATATAGAAAACTCTAAAAGATCCGCATAAAAACTACTAGAACTAATTGAAGAATTCAGTAATGTAGCATGTTACAAGATTTACATACACAAATCAGTGGCATTTCTTTACACTAACAATGAATCAACAGGAAAAGGAAGTAAGGAAACAATCCCTTTTAAAATAGCACCCAAGAGTATTAAAATACCTAGGAATAAATCTAACCAAGGAGGTGAAAGACTTATATACAGAGAAGTATAAAATATTGATGAAGGAAATTAAGGAAGACTTTAAAAAATGGAAAGATATCTCATGCTCTTGGATTGGAAGACTCAATATTGTTAAAATGGTCACACTGCCCAAGGCAATTTACAGATGTAATGCAATCCTTATGAAGTTACCCATGGCACCTTTCACAGAACTAGAACAAATCATAATAAAATTTGTATGGAACCACAAAACACCTAGAATTGCCAAAGCATTACTGAAGAAAAAGAAAGAGACTAGAATAATAAGTCTCCCAGACTTCAGACAGTACTATAGTGCCACAGCCATCAAGACAGCATGGTATTGGTACAAAAACAGACATGTAGAAAAATGGAACAGAATAGAGAGCCTAGAAATGAACCCACAAACTTTGGTTAACTCATCTTCAACAAAGGAGGCA